ATATCAGAAATATATGTAAGACTAATTATTAGTTTATTAATTATAATCTTAATATAATTATAAAAATATAGAATAAGGTTAGACAGAGAGTTTTTAAAATAAATATAGTAGATAATTATAAAATTATTAAAATTAAAAAAAGAAATTTAAAAATAGTAAGTCTTATATTTTAATAATAAATATAAATTATTAAATTCTAGCAAAGCTTATCTAAACGAAGATCTAAAAGTTTTTATCTTAGCTAAAACTAAAAGTTTTTCTTAATAAGTATTTAATAAAAGAGGCTTAAATATACTTTAAAGAAAGATAATAAATATCTAATTATTTTATATAAAGCTTATTTAAAATAATTATAAATTTTTATTATAAAATATTCTAATTAAAAATAAATTTATCTTTTTTTTAATAAAGTATACTTCTGGTCTAAAATATTTCAGAATATTAAAAAATATATCTAAAATTATAATATTTATAATTATATAAAATTATAATATTTATAATTATATAAAATTATAAAAAGAACTTAAATATAGATTATTAAGCCTGCTGTTAATATTAGATTAATTCTAATAAAATTTAATAATAAACTTTATTGTTAATCTGTCTAGTAATAAGTTATATATAAATCTTCTTATAGTTATAGATAGACTAATAAAGAAAAAAATATTTTATATAATAAAAAAATTACTATGAAAGCTAAAATTGAAATATTATTTAAAATAATTTTTAAATAATATAGATTATTAAAAATATTAATATTAAATAAAAATTCTTAATTTATAAGTTATATATATAAAAAAGTATATAATTTATGAAGAATTAATCAGCAAGTATTAATAGTATATTATTCGTAAATAAATAAAATAATAAAATATATAAATAGTATAGTTAAAGTTTATTTAAAAGCTTATATTATTTATAATTAAAAAAACTAGATTTAGCTTTTTATTTTTAACTAAAAGTAATAACTAATAGCTATATAAGTATAATTATTAGATTTTTATTATTTTTTCTAAGTTATAGCTATAACTTATATTTAATATATTAAAAAATTATATAAAATATAGATTTAAAGACTACTTTTTTAAATGCTATCTAATAAAAGGATATAATTATATAAAAACTATAGAATAATTTAGACTAGATCTAAAATATTCTTATATATATATATATAATAGAATATAAAAAGATAGATTAATAAATCTTATCTAGCTACTTCTATATATTAAAAAAAATTAAATATAATTAAGTTTATAAAATATTTAAATAAACTGTCTGAATAAAAAAATTAAATTAAAAAAATATAAAATATATAATTAAAAACAAATATAAATTATATATTATATAATTTAATATTTCTAAAAGAATTTATTCTGTTTTTTATATTAATCTGCTTTGGCTGGCCGCTAATAATATATTATTATTATAAATATAAAAAATATATAATTACTATTTATAATAATTAATAGTAGCCAGAATATAAAATAAAAAAAAATCTTAATAAATAATATATAATAAAAGACCGGGAGAATTAGCTATAATATCTGATTAAATAAAAAATTATATAAAATTAATCTAAAAATTAGTCTTAATATTTAATAATATAAAACCTATTATAAAACAATAGCTATAATTTTAGCTAAATTATAACTAATTATTCTCTAATATATATAATAATATATAAAAATAAATAAATAAAGAGATAAAGAAATAAAATAAAATAAAAAAATATTCTTTTTTAATTCTGTCACTCTGTGAATTAAGTAAAGAAAGCTTGATTTAATTTAATAAAAAATAACTATTATTATACTAATTTTTATTTATATATATTTTATTTTATCTATTTATTTCTTAATAATATTATAAGAAAGAGCAGTAATCAATAATCATTACAGACTTATATTTAAGCTCATCTAGATTATAATACTCATAATATATATTAAAATACTTGAATTTATATCTAATATAAGTATTATTTTATAATTTAGATAATTTTATTATTTACTGAAACTTTATCTAATTATTATACTTATAATAATATATTATTATTAAATTATAAAATATAATTAGAAGATTATTAATATATAAAAATATTTAATATATATTCAATTTTATCAGCAGTTTATATAAAAAATCTTTAAATTATTTTATCTAAGTTATAATAAAATTGAATATATATTAAATATTTTTATATATTAATAATCTTCTAATTATATTTCACAATTTAATAATAATATAATAATCTAGTATTTTATATTATCAGTATAGAAATTATAAGTAATAATAAAATATATAAAATAAAATAGTAAATTATAATTAATAATAATAATTCAAACCTAAGAAAAATTATAATAAATAAAAATTAATATATTATCTAATTATTCAGGCTTATCAGACTCAGTATTAGAAAGAAAGAATATTATATAAATAATAAAAAAATAATAAAAGGTATATAAATAAATAGAGAACAGACTAGAAATAAAAAAATAACGATATATATAATAAAAAAAAATAAAAACAAATAGTTTTTTATATATATTATTTTAGATTATATAAAGCTAGTGTCTAAGTATGATTATATTTTTAAGATTAATTATATAAATAATATAAAAGGAAATTCTATTTATTAGAGAATTATTATATTTATTAAATAAAAAGATTATATAAAAAGAAAAAGCTATAATAAATAGATAGATCTTTTTTATATATACTATTTATTAATTAGCTATAATATTATCTAATAAAAAAGCTAAGATATAGAACTATTTCTATAAATTCTAAATAGTTATTTATATAAACAGAAATTATAAAAAAATAGTAAAAAAAGATTTTTATTATAATATTAAGATTCTGATATAGAGCTTAGCTTGAGATATTAATCAATATCTAAGTCCTAAGATCTTATATACTCTATACTAAACTAGCGCTAGCTTAATATATATATACAAAAGAGTTCTATATAAATAAATAAAATAACTCTTCAGCTATTTCTTCTTGTTCAGCAACATGTTTTTATTTGTATAATTTATCTGTCCTGTAAAAATTACTATAACACAGAATTCTAGTATTTATAGAATTAGAAATAAGTAAGAAATAAGAATTTAAAGAATTAAGAATTATAAGAATTATAAGAGTTATAAAAAATAAAAATTATAAGATAATTAATATATTATTTGTTTAATTTATTATATTTAATATAATGAGTATATCTAAAATATTCTAAGAATTAATATATATATGTTTATATATTTATACAGATAACTAGTTTAGTATTTACTGATTACTCTGATAAAGTCTTGAATAAGTGCTATAACAGAGTATAATAGAAACAAAGAAACAATCAATCAATTTATTCTAATATAGTAATAGAGTATCTAATCATTGGATTCTTGAAATGTAATAATTCTAAATATCAGAAAATTAGCTTAGACTAAGCTTGGATTTCTATAGATTAATTATAAAAATATTAAAAATTTATTATATAAGACTTTGGCATTATAATACATAATAATAATTATAAATTATATAACATACTAAGATAAAATATATGATAATATAATATTTCAGACAGAGTTTCTAATATACAGGGATTCTTGTGGGAAGCCCTCTTACCACAAAAGACTAGTATAATCTGGTAATATTAGATTATTGTATGTACTATACAAGGACCTATTCTATTATATTCTGTTTTCATTTTGTACTGGCAACTGCCAGGTATCTATTATAAGATTGAACAGCAATACTGTAATACTTGATAAAGAGTAATTATTATTATTTAAATAAAACAAAAAAATATTTTGACTTTTTTTATTACAAAGTATTTATATAGTATTCGATGTTTTTTAATTTTAATAATCTAAAGTTTATAAATAATATTAATATAATATTATTTTATATTTATGTAGAATATTATTTTAGTTTTCAATATTTTAATTTCCTATAGAATAGTCATATAGAAGATATGTTTTTAAAAAACTTTATGCTAAATTAAATATAATTATTTTATAGTGAATAAACTATAATTATTTTAATTATAACAAAAATAAATATCTAGAGTATATACTAAACAATGAAATTTGAAATCTATACAAATTTAATATATATATATAGATATATGATTTTTTATATATAAATTAAAAAAAGATTAAAAGTTTTATATAATCTAAACTACAGAATTATTATCATAAATAATCTAAAAATTCTGACCAAATATTGTATAAAATGTAAAAATTTCTTAATATAAGTTTATCATATTTGGAAAGAGACTATATAGAAAAGAATTTATTTATACAATCTGCCTTGATTATACAGAGTTTATTTTAGACCACCTCCCGCACCTTGACAATAAATTGCGAAAGTCGCTTACTGAGCGGGATTGAACAATATTTGGCCCGCCAATGAAGTAAATTTCATCATATCAGCTTTGTAAAGCGGCTTTAAGGGATTTATATGGCCGAAGGCAGGGCAGACTTCAATTTTTACATTCCGGTTGGTAGGTGGGAATAAGAGCGTGACTCTCTACTTTACTACTGATAATAGAGAAAAGCAGGGTCTAGGAGGCCGGCACCCCCCCCGTATTGTATATAGTGTCAGAGTGATATACAGCCTTGCTCTGTACGTTTCTATGCTGGATTACTCCCCTGATATCTGGACCAGCAGAGCCAAGGTCATATAACTACCACTAGTTGTTGTCTTCCGATCCACAGTAAATACAAGGCCAAGCTCTGATCAGATCCACCATAGTTAGTTAACACAGCCATCCTGCTGACTAACCTTTCGCTTTAACATAGTTATGATTTCAATACCACGGCCATAATACTAAACCATTGCTTTCCTCGGCAGTGTATATATATCTGTTATCATGCTTTTATTTGTATTCGCGGAAGCTCCTATACCACAAGCTTATCCCTAAAATCAAATTCTTTGGTATGTAATCTGTATAAAGTACCCGCTGGATTTGTCACAATTTTTTGTTCCGATACTCCGCACTCCACATATTTATTCAGTACATTTACCTTCAAGGAAGGCAACTCCCACTCCAAATCTGAATTTCTTAGAATATTCATTTCGGGTTAACATACAAAACAGACTCTCCTCTCAGACCAGCCTAGTAATGTTGTTTCTCCACCTGGAAGATCTGATACCGGTCCGCTACTGAATCTATCAACACCTCCCCCTCCCCCGTCCGCCCCGGTCCACTTTTTTAGTCAAAATGAGCATAGACCGCCAGAGAACAGTTGAATGTAACGGGCCAGAAAGGAAACAAGTACTCTCGGAAGGATCTCAACTACAACGATGCATTCCTGTTCAGGTATGCTGATAAATTATAATTACTGATGACTCGAAGCTCATAATGGTCACCATTTCCAAGGACAAACTCGAAGATAAAAGGCCGGGATTCAATAGAGTTACGTCTAGGATTTCCGAGCCTGTTGTTGCAGCCTTTATAGCTGGAGGCGCCGCGGGTGCGGTATCAAGGACGATTGTATCACCTCTTGAACGCCTAAAAATTCTCCTCCAAATCCAGAGCATTGGCAGAGAAGAGTACAAGTTATCTATATGGAGGGCGTTAGTCAAAATAGGAAGAGAAGAAGGCTGGAGAGGTTTTATGCGCGGCAATGGCACAAATTGTATCCGCATCATCCCCTACTCTGCGGTTCAATTCGGAAGCTACAACTTCTACAAGAAAGTAAGTCAGCCCTAGACCACTCCTGAGTTCGGTATTGGTACACAATGAGCTGCATGGGAAACAAACCAGGCCCGATATGTAGGTCCTGAAGGAAACTGTATTAATCCCTTATAGTTCGCAGAGACTTCACCAAATACTGAATTGTCACCGTTCCGCCGCCTCATCTGTGGAGGTGCTGCTGGGATCACCTCCGTGACTTTTACTTACCCTCTTGATATCGTCAGAACTCGACTCTCTATTCAATCAGCTTCTTTCTCGGCAATAAGCCGTCGAGAATCCGGCGAGTCATTACCGGGAATGTTCAGTACTATGGTCTTGATTTATAAGAACGAAGGCGGAATTGTGGCTCTCTATCGCGGCATCATACCCACTGTTGCTGGAGTTGCACCATATGTCAGCTGTCCTTGGAGGCCCCCCTGGTACCGTTTCTGGCTAATCCTGCTCAGGTCGGTCTCAATTTCATGACATATGAATCTTTTCGCAAATACTTGACCGCCGAAGGGGACACGACTCCAGGTCCACTGCGTAAATTACTTGCCGGCGCTGTGTCCGGGGCGGTGGCACAAACATGTACCTATCCATTGTAAGCTTCGAGCTTTTGATCGCTCTTACAATGTCTTATGAACTAACGCGGAGGTGCTTCAGCGATGTACTTCGACGGCGTTTCCAAATAAACACTATGTCTGGAATGGGCTACCAGTATAAATCCATAACGGACGCTGTGAAGGTCATTGTGGCCGCAGAAGGGTTTCGTGGTCTCTTCAAGGGGATTGTGCCAAATCTTCTTAAAGTAGCTCCTAGTATGGCCAGTAGTTGGTACAGCTTTGAGCTGATACGGGACTTTCTAGTTGATTTGAATGAGAGATAGATAACAGCCAATGCCCTTTCCTGTTTCGTCATCCCCCAAATGGCCATGTGATCACTAGACAAAGCATTAGAAAAAGGGCCCTATATACTGCCATCAGGGATAGTTACAAGGAACTATTACAGATTAAAGTTGATTCAGGTTACTACTCACTTTCATCCTTTTTGGAGATGAGATCACGGGTGATATCGCGACTATAGTCTTGTTACTACTGGAAAATACTTGAAAGTTACCTAGGATGACCTGACAACTGTGATGGGTCAGAAAATCCAATATTTAATTAGATATTGATTCCTGCGGCATCTACTTAGAGATCATGATTTAGTCATCGACTGCATGGACTACGGTGAATTCCACTGCTGTATAGTAGAGGCGGGGTAAAAGTGGGAAAGAGAAGAAGAATAAAGGCTACTGCTCCGTAACTAATGTATCTACCTATAAAGTACAAGCCCTACTCTGTCCTGTCTATCATTATTCAATTGTGGCTACTACTTCCTCAAGGGAGTGATATCACCATCCAATGAGGAGTGAACAGATGCCGTAAGCCTTCTGGTCTCTCCACAAAACAGTGTTGTGTTGTCGAAACTCCAAAGTGCTACAGAGTAGTACATCGTTAGTGTTAACCCTACCTGTTACCACCACCACTAGCGATACATAGCGCGTACTAGATAATGCGCAGACAGTAACTGAAAAGTAGTAATCGCGGGTTTCAAACCAGGCCCACTGCCCCGAAAGTTTACTGATGCCCTGTTTCTCAGGTGGTAAGTAATTCAGATTGCCATATCCGGTTAGGGTAGGGCTCAACCCGCACACACCGTGCATCTGAAAATCGTAGATTGAAAACCTCACCAGCTTCACTCTGACTACGGGTGCGATAGCCAGCCAACTTTCAGGTGTCCCATCAATATCAGCAGCCATGGGTATGTTCAACTTGACACGGCAATCCATTGTTATTTGCAAAGAAGATGAGATTTTTGCTCTTTCCCGGGCTATGACCATCTCCAACTTTGCTTTACGACCACCTCTACAATGAACAATCGAAAACTAATTTTGAAATATAGGTATCGACTTGGATCGCCACCATGTGCGCAGCACCCACCGCAAGGCGCCCAAGAGTGAAAACGTCTACCTCCAAGTCTTGGTGAAGCTTTATCGGTTCCTCGCCCGTATGTTTTCGCTTCCTACTCAAAGGTCTGGTTACTAGACATGAGAGACTGATGAGTCTGTTTCAACAGGTCGCACGGAATCGAACTTCAACAAGGTTGTGTTGCGCCGCCTTTTCATGTCCAGGATCAACCGCCCTCCAGTTTCACTCTCTCGGCTTGTTTCGAACGTGACCGAATCGCATAAAGGGAAGACCATTGTCGTCATTGGTACTATCACTGACGACAACCGTCTCCTCACCGTCCCGAAGCTCTCCGTCGCCGCTCTTCGTTTTACGGCTACTGCCAGAGCCAGGATTGAGAAGGCTGGAGGTGAAACTTTGACTCTGGATCAGCTTGCCCTGCGTGCCCCCACCGGAGCGAACACCCTCCTACTCCGCGGACCCAAGAATGCCAGGGAAGCCGTGAAGCACTTCGGCTTCGGCCCGCACAGCCACAAGGTAAGTAAATATTAGGCGAAGATTGATTCAGTGCTAACATAAAGCAGAAGCCCTACGTGCGGAGCAAGGGTCGGAAGTTTGAGAGAGCTCGTGGACGGAGAAGGTCTCGCGGTTTCAAGGTTTAAGGCGCAGTGAACAAGTGGCGTCATTTACTTATCAGGTGTTCTTAGCTGCACTCCTGAAGACAGTCTGCGCACTAACATGTGCCTGGACGACTCGGTACGGCTATCGTCATTGATCTTACCTGGGTCAAAACCATGGAACATGGGGGTTTCAGTCAGACAAGTTTACCTGGATGAAAATGAAAATGGAGTTAAATCATTGATTGCCTGATAACGTGGTTTTCTTTTTAATTTAATGGTAGAGCTTCGTGTTTCCATTGTTTGCCACCATCAAAGTAATCGCCTGCCCCATGCCCAACACCTCGGACGAGATACTTATAGATGGTCAACCCGTCTAGTCCAACCGGACCTCTAGAGTGAATCTTATTTGTGCTGATGCCAACTTCGGTGCCAAATCCATACCTCATCCCGTCCGCAAATCTTGTCGAGGCATTCCAAAAAACCCCCGCACTATTGATGCTGCTCATGAAGTAGTCTGCAGTGTTTCTTGACTCTGTGATAATGATATCAGTATGCTTTGAGGAATGAGTGTTGATGTGTGTAATTGCTGCTTCCACATCAGAATAGGCGGGAGATGCGGGTATTGTCTTGACTGCCAGAATAAGATCCAGAAACTCGGTGTCGTAGTCGGAATCAACAGCATCTACAATCAAAGACCTCCGTGCTGCATCCAGAGTATTTACCAGCGCAGCCTTGGAAGCTTCGTCGCACTTCAAGGTAACCCCCTTAGCCATAAGAGCTTCTGCAATGCCAGGCCAGATGTCCCGAAGAACATTTTCATGCACAAGTAGGGTTTCCAACGAGTTGCAAGCCGCAGGATAATCTGTCTTGGAGTCCACAATGACTTTAACAGCAATGTCCACGTCTGCGTCGTGGTGGATATAGGCGGAACAAAGTCCGTCCGCATGGCCCAAGACAGGAATTTTTGTGTTGTCTTTGACAAAGCGAACGAGTTCATTAGAACCCCGGGGTATAACAAGATCTATCAAATCTTCTTGAGCCAACAGAGAGGAGACAGCATCTCTGGTTTGCACCAGCTGGATGGCTGACTTTGGAACCGCGGTATGTGACAAGGCTTCACAAATCACTCTGGAAATTTCAACAAAAGATTCAGTTGATTCTTTCCCACCTTTTTAGCATGTTAGCCAGGCTTACGATTTCAAGGGGATGTCAGAAGGTACCTTTTAAAATAGCCGCATTGCCGGACTTTATAGACAGAGCAGCGATGTTTGCGATTACTTCAGGGCGGGCCTCAAAGATGATTAATAGAACTCCGATGGGACAACTAACTCTCTCCAGAGTTAGATCATCATCAAGCAAAGTCCTGAGGGTCACGTTTCCAACTGTGAGAGATTAGCATAGACAGTCACAATGAATTTGACACACTTACTAGGGTCTTTTAGATCTCGCACACTCAAGATCCCTTGCAGCATATCATCATATTTACCCGGCTTTGACAAGTCAAGTCTCTTGAAGATACTATGACTGAGGGATCCATTTTCAGTACCATGTCTTGCGTTGGCAACGTCCCTTGCATTGGCCGCCAATATGGCATCCTTGTTCTCGGAGAGTCCTTGGTATAGAGTAGTCAATGCTTCATTTCGTTCAGCGTTGGATAAGATTGCTAGTCGGCGAGAAGCTAGAGACGCAGCGCTTGCGATTTCAAATGCAGACGATTCGGTAAGTGACATTGTGGGTTGCCGTATAAGCCAATGTATGCTATGCGAGGATAAGTTTGTTTAGGAACTTAGATTTGAGCTGTCGAGTTGCAAATTCAGTGGTGATTATATAATCATTTCAGCTCCCTTCCACATGACGTTTCTGCAACACAGTTGTTCCTGCCCCGTAGCCTACCGTATCTGCCGAAGGCGGTGAGTGTACATAGTACGTAGGTACTTACTACACAGTACTTCGTAAGAGGTAGCTAAGTAGTGCCTAGTCGGTAACTGGTCAAGTGATGGGCATGGATGGTACTCTACCTACTTACCGCAAGACCTAATGAATCATACTTATCCCCATAATACATCTAGATAATGCTAGTGCAGATTCTCTTAATTCGTAATAAGCATGTGTATTTCCTGTAATGGATAATGGTTAATTATTGAAGAGCATGGGCAGAACTTAGCTTTTCGATAGGCACCTATAGTATCTTAAACATTAGTTGTAAGGTTGTATTTTATGATGTTACGTACTTACTTGGTAGTACCCTACCGCGGAGCTCTAACCTACCTGGCCAGATCATGCGTTCTTTCAGTTACAAGGCAACAGCTGTTCAGGTTGATTTCTCTTTTTCTTGAAATCGAATCTGACGTCGAGGAGTATTTCAAAAAGAAGATGGCAGAACTTCTTTCGCATGTCACCTCAGTCTCATCTCGGCTGCGTTCTGTTGATAAAATATCTGATGACAGATATGACTGTCAACTTCGAGATCTCGTTACGTATATCAAGCAGTCTGATAAGAATTTTGACAGCGAATATCTACTTAATGTAAGCATCTCCGACAACCATTTGACCAATAGACGAGTTAATATCGATGCTTCATTCTGAAAGCTTAATGCCACGCTGATAACTAAGACATCTGCAGAATCTCAACCCATCACATCACACACTGTCCTACTTGTTGATGCTCAATTTCAAAATTAAGTACTTGCAAAATAAAAGAAGGACCGTGTTGCCTGAAGAACTCAAACCTGGGAACGATTTGTGGGTCAAGGCTGTCCTTTTCTTCAGGACCTTTGATCCTATTCAAGTCCGCTATGCTGGGGGCGAGTGGCGCCAACTTATTGAGATCATAGGGCAAGCAGCAGAAGCTACTGCAAAGGTAGGCTATGATCTCAGCAAGTGTATTCATCTCGTATATATGTGATTAAATTAACATGCAACAGCCGTTCCTAGCGGTTCAAGTGATCAGGGATGCCATGCTTCGACTGGATCCCTCATCTGGAATCCTCACATCCGTGCATATTATTTTTCTCAGACTTTCACTGTTGTCAAGGTCTTACAGCTATGCTTTACCGGTCATAGGGAAACCAGTAATCTGGTTTCCCACCGGCTCAGTGCAGGCTTATAAGAAATATATCGAGCAGCCATTATGTTCTGAACTTGTTTCGATGGATTCATTGTTGTCTGATTCATTTGGCTTTTCTGCAAAGTTGACATACAGAGATCACACGCAATATTTTCTCTATGGTGCAATGGTGTATATGGCCCTTAAAGAATGGGATAAATCCCTGCACTGGTTGAGTATCGTGATCTCATCTCCCGTCAATGATTCCGTCAGCAAGATTATGGTTGAAGCATATAAGAAGTGGGTGCTAGTCAGCTTGTTGGGACATGGGAAGGTAAGGGTGACAATAATATTGACAGCGAGTTGTATACTAACAACCATGCCTGTTTTAGCTGGTCACTGCCCCTAAGATAATCTCTTCACATGTTTTGAAGGTCTTTCAGTCATTGGCAAAGCCTTACCTTTCCTTATCCGAAGCATTTGAGAGAAACGATCTTCAAAGGCTGAGATTAGAGGCGGATGTTGGCCAGTCTATTTGGCGTCATGTATGTTAGCAGTCGGTGGGGGTGTTCCTGAGGTTTAAATCTCGCTGACAGGGTCCTAGGATAATAATGAGGGCCTTGTTTCTCAGCTGTTCCACGCCCACAAATCCTTTCTGTTTCTCAAGCTTGGGAGGACATTTTCGGCTCTCACTGCAGCAGATGTGGCACAGCAGGCGTTTACGCCTCTCGACTCTTCGTCGAAAATCGAGGAATTTGTAGCAGCTCTTGTAATGTCCGGGTCTCTAAGGGCCACTTTGGTTCATCTACATGGCCGTGGAAATGGCACAATGCTTCACTTTTCTCGGCTGCCGGAGCCTTACATCACCAGAGAGAGATGTATGCGAACACAATTAGCCAAAGAGGGCCGAGCGCTGGAAATTATTACAAATGGCGCCGATCAATGTAGCAATGAGTTGATGATGGGCAATGAAAATCTCCAGCTTGTATCAAAAAATCAGAAGTGGCCGGATACTCTGGGAAAGGATGGTTGTAACATCATCGGTGAAGCTGATGGAGGTGGGTATGAAATTGATGAAGACATCATGGGAGATAATAGCAAATAGTGAAACTCTTATACATTGTTTGCCATCTTTAATATGGCTCTATGGATCAGAACCCTCTCTCCAGCTCCATTTGTCTCCTAATTTTACAGCCTTTTGTTGGATTTATTTCTTCCCCCCAGCCCCAGGAACCCAGTTTATTTAGTTGACATAGAACATTGGAAATTCACCGTCTGAACTCTTCACTCAGATTAGTTAATATGTTGTGTGATTGGACTGTATTTAATTACAGAGCGAGGCTCTGTAGTCTGTAATATTGATATATAAAGGGGGGCCGGGGACTCTGAACCCCTTTTAATTAGCCAAAAACCCCTGAATGTAATAATGATTTATATACTATTGAATATTTTATAATCAACATATTTCTAATATTTAATAGTTCTTTTTAAGTAATATATTTTTCTATAATATTTAGTGTATAAATATAAGTCTAATTCTTAATTTTCCTAAGAATGTATAATTATAAGCTCTCCTGTAGTGTCTCTGATGCACTTCTTTTCTTATATTTAAGATTATTTATTTTAAAGAATCTAATAATTATACATTTTACTATAATATTAAAAAAAGGTATAATTAGAGTGGTTAACAGCCAGGGTAGATTAATAATAACAGTTAAGAAATTTAGATAATAATTAAAATATTTTATAAGAATTAAAATAAATATATAATTATTATTTATCTAATAAGTATAATCTAAACTAGATAATTATATAATTAATTTTTAAATTATATAATATATAGATATTACTATAAAATACTTAATAATTAAAAGTTATTATAAAAAATAAGCCTAGAATTAATTAATTATATATTAAATATAAATTATCTATACTAAATAATATTTAAATATTAGGGGAATAATTAAATTAAGCTAATCCAATGATTGACTATTAATATAAAAGAAATTAATAAAGAAACAAAAAGAAGAGAAAATAAAAATATTTAAATTATATTTTTTTATTTTTTCTTATACAGTGCTATCTCTTGCTTTATTTAATTATTTATTTAACTATAATATATGAAATAAAATATTTATATAGATATTATTAAATCTTTAAGATTTAGAGAATTTATATAAGAATTAGAGTGGCTTAATCTGACTATTATACCTTAATCTTAACCTGGCCATAACCTGGCGGTCAGATTAAGATATAAAAAATTTTTAATTATATAGTTAAGATCAGGTTAAGATATAATTATTATTATAATTATTTATATCTGCCGATCAGAAAAATTAGATATAGCAGATAGATTAATAATCACAGATTAATTTATAATATATATATACTTCTTATATAAATAATATACAAAATATAATATATATTTAATTATAGTATAAATATAATAATATTTTTATTTCTTTAAATATAGCCTACTGCTTGATCTGTTTAATTAATTATCTTAGATTTTTAAGAAATATACTATATTCTGAAAAAGACTTTTATAGAATCTAGTATAAAAGAAATAAGAAAAGATATAGAATATTTATTCTTTATATTATTTAGAATAATAATTATAATAGTATAAAAATTATAAAGACTGGATCTTTATCTCTATCTAAGTATATATAATAATTAAAGATTTAGATAAAACTAGTTTTTTTAATTTTAATAATAATTTATTTTCTGAATTATCTTTAAGATTATTTATATTCTTATTTTTATTAATATAAAAAATAATAATTATCTTATTCTTCTCTTGCTTCTTAAATATAAAAATAATTAAATTTAAATTAAGATTATTAAGTATTTTCTAGTATTTTTTATTTATAATAAAATAATTAATATATATTTAAAGTATAATTATTTTAATTATATTAAAATTAAGACAGTTTTAATAATAATAGCAGATATCTTAAGAATTATTAAAAAAATATTTAATATTAATATTATTAATTATAATAAAGAGAAAATCTCTAGTTATTTAATAAAAAATAAAAAACTAATTATAATAGAATTTTTAATAAATAAGAATATTAATATATTTTATAATATCTAAAATTATATTAGTTTAATTAAAAATATCTTAAGAAGCTATATATCTTTAATATTTAAATATATCTTAAGTTCTTTATATATCTTAACTATAAATAAGAATCTCTAATATTTAGAGATATTATAAAAGATCTTATCCAGATCTAATAATAACCCGAAGATTATTAATAATATATTAATTATTAAATTTTAATTAAAATAAAAAAAGAATATTTTTTTAAAAACAGTTTAATATTTATAATATTAGTTAATATTTTTATTTAATTATATATTTTTTTTAAACTTTTTAAGCTTTAATATCAGATCTAGAATAATTATAATTATATAAATATAATTTTTTATTTAATAAATATAATAATAATATTTTCAGAATTTTTAATATATATTATATAAGTTCTTAAGAATCTTCTTTTTTTAAAATATCTACTTTTTTTTTAGTCTATTAATTAAGTAATCTAGATAATTAAAGAGATTATTATAAATATTATAAATCTTATAAATAATAAATCTATTATTCTTAAAAAGATAGAAAATAAAAAAAAAAAAGATATAAAAATTTAAAAAAATATTTTATCTATTTTTACTTTATTATAATAAAACAAAGATAATTAATATTATTATATTTATAATATTAAATAAAACTTTTAATTACTTAATAAAATTTAAATATTTAATAAATTATAAAATAAATTAAGTTTCAGCAGATTTTATAATTAAAAAAAAAATAATAAATTAAATTAGATTTAAGTTATTAAATAAATAAGAATTTTTTATAATATTAAAAGCTTATATTTATAAATTATATAATTTTCTAAATTTATAATTAAAAATTAATATAATAAACTAGCTGATAAAAAATTTTTAAAAATTTTTTATAAAAAAAAATTTTATATTAATTTTTTACAGACAACTTCTAGAATATATTTTTTTAAAAATTTTTAAAATATTAAAAAAGATTTTAAAACTTCTATTATTATTCTATTATATATATTTAATAATACTGTTTAAGATCTTAATTTAAAGTTTTTATAAAAAAATATTAACTATAAATTAAATTATATAAATAAAACAGAGAATATAATACTAGCTTTAAATAATTTTTAAAAAATTAGAATTAACTAGAATATTATAAAACTAAGTACTCTAATTAAGTTAAATTTAAAATTTAGCTAAGATTATATTAAATATTATATTATTATTACTAGTATTATTAATTATTATATTTAATAATTAATAAATAAGATTATATTTATATAAAATTAATAAAATAATTATAGCTAGATTCTTACTAGTATAAGATTTAAATATTAGTTAAAAATCTAATAAAATCTTATAATAATTTATATCTTTTATTAAAAAATATCTAATTAAATTAAGAAATATTTTTTGATTAAAACTAATTTAATAATTTATTATAATTAATATCTATCTAATATTCAGAAATTTTAATAGCAGCTATATATATATTTTTTTAAATAATTTTATAAAATATTTTTTAATTTATATTTAATTAGAAGAACTTAGTTTTTAATAAAGAAATAAAATAATAAGATTAATTATTTATTTAAATTAAATATACTTAACAGTTTAAAATAATAGATAATAAATAATTATAAAATATAAAATTTAATTCTGAAAATTCTGTTTATTATAGACTATAAAAATCTAAAAAAAGATAATAATTAAAAAAGATTTATCTTAAAAAAATAAATAAACATTTATAATAATTCTTTATTTAATATCTAATTAATTATTTACTTAGATATAACTAATAATAATTTTTTCTTATAATTTTTATAAAAATAATAACTTATAAAACTAGTTTCTGAGTTTTTAATTCTTAGATATTATAAAATATAAAGATATATAATATAATAAATATAAGAGATTTTATTAAAAAATAATATATTTTTTTAAAAGCTGTTTTATATTATTAATAACTTTTCTTAATTAAAATAAAATAGTAATTTTTAAGCTTATATATAATTTTTAAAAAAGATTATCTTTTATTATTAATTCTAAAAAATAGAAAGTTTTTTTTAAAAAACTAAATATAAAATAATCTTTTAATTCTTCGCGATATATATAATCTTGAGATTTAGAAAAGAAAACAAAATCTAATTTAAAAAGTTTATTTTAGTTTAAATATTATTATAATTTATAAAAATTTAAGAAACAGAAGAAAAAGACTTAATAATATTTTTTAAAAATAAATTAAATAATTAAAATTAACTTATAATTTTAAAACTGTTTTATAAATAATAGATATAAAAAAATAAAAATAAAAAACTTTATTTAATAAATATTAGATTAGAATAAAAATTTAATATAATAATAAAAAAGAATTTAGTCTCTGATTATAAATCTAATAATAAATTTAATAAACAGAAATTTATATCTAAAGCTTAAAATTATAAAATAATCTCTTTTTTTAAATAAAGCTACTTAAAATATAATAAACTAGAATAAAAAATAAATATTTATAAAAAAAATCTATAAAAAATTTTTATAAAATCTTTTATAAAAATTATAATATTATAGTATAGATTTAATATATTTTATCTAGATATTCTATTTATCTATTTTATCTATTTAATCTGTTTAATTTATTTAATCTATTTAATCTATTTAATTTACTTTATTTTAATAATTTAATTATCTATAATCTTCTTAACTATTTATTTATTTCTAATTCTGTTAATAGCTCTTCAAGCTATATCTTATTTATAAATCTAAAAATAATCTAATCTAGAAGAAATAATAGAATAAAAATAATATATTTATTTTTAATATTTTAATTAATAATTAATATATAGTTTTTCTAGTATTCTATAATATAATTAAAATATATAGCTAAAATAGAATAATAATTATATATTTTTATATATATTTCTTGCTATAAGAATAATAATTTTATAAAAAACTAAATTTTATTAATATAATTAGAATTTCTTTATTATTTTTAATAAATAATAATAAAAAAGATACTAATTTCTTTTTTAATTATATTTTTTTAATTTAAAAAACTTCTTTTTATATACTTTTAGACAATAGTAAAAATAGTCAGATTAATAATTATTTAATCTAAATATATCTTAATTATACTAGAGCTTAAAAAAATATAGTAGATAAATCTTAGTACTAAAAATAATTAAAATAATTAATTATCTGA